AATGCATTTCAGAGCAAGTTGCAAATGTCAGTACTCTTCACCCCAAACTTCTTAGCAAGCATCTCATCACCAGAGGTAGGTCTTTGTTTTTAGGGAAAATTCACGCCACGAAACCCACACATCGTCTGGCTCCCGCCAATGGGCTGCAAAAAGGCTCCCGCCTGCGTGAGCGACACCCCCGAGGAGCTGGTGGCCCAGGGCCACGGCACTGTGCCCCCCCCCCCGGGCTTTCACCGGGACGGCTGCCATCAGGAAGGGCGTGGACTTGTTCAAGGGCACAGGCCTGGGCCCCTGCAGACCAGCAGATGGATAGCTTTTCCCAGCTTTTAGGCGAAAATAGCCACGCAGGTGCAGGCCTGCGGAGTCAGCACCGGCCGCTCCTGGCCACGACTGTGCCCCCTCTGGGACGGGGACCACACGCCCCGGCTCCCGCCACGGAGTGCGGCTTCCCGCCCTCTCCAGAGAGACCTTCCCGCATCACCATGAGTCTCTGGGCACAGACCCTCATTCCTGCGGTCTCTCTCACCCGGCCTGCCCCACAGACCCACCCCTGGCTCAGTTCTTCATAGACCCACCCTCAGCTTCTCAATCAGCGGCAGCCCGGCCAGGGAAACACAGAGCCGGTGCCACCGCAGAGGGCTGGGACGGGAGAAGCCCAGCCTCGGGGTGCCCAGGTCAGCCCCCCACCAGCACTCGGCTGGGCAGGTCCAGCTGAGCCTCGTGCGCCCTCGGCCTTTCCCTGCTGTCAGCGCCCGAAGCTCAACTCGGTGGCCAGGAGCCACGCTGGTCCCTGGCGCTGACACAAAGCACCTCACACCCATTTCCCCCGCCCCACCCATTTCACAGATGGAGAAACTGAGGCAGCGAGAGGGGAAACGGACCGCTAGGCCTCGGGTCTGATGTGGCCACTGGGCCGCACCCCAGTGCCCACTGCGCCACAGGGAAGGAGACTAAGGCTTTGCCCATGCTCTCGGCTGGGGAGTAGGCTCGGGAAGAGGCTTTTAGCAGGGCCTCTGGAAATTTCCTTCAATCGATGCATTCGAGAAGCTGCTGACCCATCAGACATAAATCTTGTTCTTTTCCTGGAGCACTCATCCACCGACCCAGTCAGTCCCCAGGTGCCCTCCGCTCCGCCTGCTTTCTCACGCCCCAAGGGGCTCCTGGCTGTCACCACGGCTCCGTCACGGAAGGGACTCTCCTACAGCCTGAGGCCGGAGGTGGAGGCCAGAGTCCGAGACCCAGGCCCCGGGCGGGCAGTCCCCTCGGGGCTCCGAGAGCCTGGTCCCTGCCCCTCCTGCCTCCGGGGCTCCACCAGGTGGGTCCTGGGCTTGGAGATGTGTGACTGACTCCAGTCTCGCCCCCCTCCCCGGGGCCTCCCTCCCGGGGCCTCTGGATCCACCCTGAATCCAGGCTGCTCTCCTGATGCCCTGAGGATGGCCTCTGCAGAGCCCGAGTCTTTTTTAAATTCATTTTTATTGATTTCAGAGAGGAAGGGAGAGGGAGAGAGAGTCAGCCAATCACTGGTTCCCTGTCATCATCGATTTTCTCTCTCCCTCCTTCTCCCTTCCGCTCTGGAATCAATAAAAATGTATTTTTTAAAAGTCTAAGAGTTTACAATGCCTTTTAGGCACAGCCTCGCAAATCCCCTGCTAACTGCCTGCCCTGTCCTGGACCCCACCCCCACCTGCCCGACCCATGCCCACACGCCCGGGGGGACCCCCCCAGCCCACACTCACACATTCGGGGGACCCGCCTGGACCACGGAAGCAGGCCACCTCCGCACCTGCAGGCCAGCACTGCCAACAGCAGCTGGTGCCGGGATGGAGATGCCCCACCCCTGTGAGGGCACTGGGGCCGCCCCTCGCCCCGTGCTGGGCTCCTGTTACCTGGTCCCGGTCCCAGAGCCACAGCCGTGCTCACTCACACGCTCAGTCCTGCAAGCCCGCCCCCACTCCGGGGCCAGGCAGCGGGAGGCGCCGGGCAGGGAGAGGGTGGGGGTACAGACAGACTCGGCTCTGCCCACTCAGTCCTCTGGGCTGAGCAGCTCTGGCCCCCGGTGCCCCTGAGCCCTGCGTCCCCACCAGCTGATCGAGCCCATCTCTTTAAAATACGCTTTTCTGTATGATTTCAGAGCGGAGGGGGGGGAGATAAACATCGGTGATGAGGAAGAACCATTGATAGACTGCTCCCGCACACCCTCCACTGGGGATGGAGCCCACAACCTGGGCACATGCCCTTGACCAGTCCGAAGGCCGACACTACCCACTGAGCCACACTGGCCAGGGCAGATCTTATCTAATTTGCACCCAGAGGGGCAGGACCTGTGCTGGCGAGGAGCTGGGCTGTCGGCCCTGCCAGGCGTCCTGCCAGTCCTGCCAGCACCCAGGACGGGCAGGGAGACTGCTCTCGGGACTGGATTCCTGGCAGATGGACCGCCTTTCGCAGCCAGCGCCAGCTGTTGGCCCGTTGCCCGGCGTGGCTGGTGGGCGCTGGGGGCGGGGGGAGGCAGTGATAAAGGAGCAGCCCAGCAGTCCGAGGCTCCCCGCCTGGGTCCTGCCTGTTAGTCCCGCCACCTGCCGCCTGCGCCACACCGGGTGCTTTGCTGGGAACCGGTCTTTGGGGGTGTGCTGGGGGAGAGCTTATAACCCCAAATACCTGGACAGAACCACCCTGGACGGATGGCCTCGCCCTCCACCAGCCGGGCGCGCCCAGAGGGGAGTCCCAGGACGCAGTGCAGGTCCCCGCCAGCACGTACAGGGCAGGGGGAGCAGCAGGCGTTTCAGAACAGGGTCACGACCTGTGGCGGGAAAGAGGCTTTCCTGGAAGACGGGTGAGCAGAGCCTCTGGGCTGGGACTCTGCCCAGCAAGGCTGCCCTACCGTGGGGGGGGGGGGGGAGGACGGGCACCAGACAGCAGGGCGGCCCGGGGGCGGGCGGCGTCTGTCTCATCCTGGCCTAGAACGGGGTGGGGGGCGGTGAGCATTGCTCGGCCCCGGCAGTAGCCCTGGCAGCGGCGCGAGGCTCACCTGGTCGGAGGCCTCGGAGGGTGTGGTCCCCGGCTGACGTGACCTGGCCCAGGCATGGAGGGCGAGGGCACCGAGCTCGGGGAGGGGCGCCAGGCACGAAAGGCAGACACGTGGTTCTGCTCTCCGAGGTCTCTGGAGCAGTGAGACTCAGAGACAGGAAGAGATGGAGGCCGGGCCGGGGAGGGAAGGGGCCAGTGTGTAAGGGCTCAGGGAAGGTTCTGGTGGTGACGGCTGAAGTGTGAACGCAGAAACAGTAGACTTCACGTGTATTCTCTCTCTCTCACATACACACACACACACACACGTCTTCTGTCCATTTGGGCCCTGGGCCTTGGCTGCCTCACTCAGTGCGGGGCCACCCTGCACGGGGTCAGGTTCCTGAGAGGGTGCCTCCCAGCAGGTCTCCTTCGCAGCGGGCGGGGCCTGCGGGCACCCGGGCTGACCCCGCCCAGGAAGGTGAGTGGCGGGTGGCTGGCCCGCAGCCCTGGCCGCTCCTGCAGCTCCTGGTCAGGCCAGGTTGCGGGCTCGATCCTCAGTGAGGGCGTGCAGGAGGCAGGATTCTCTCTCATCACTGATGTTTCTCTCCCAGTCCTCTCCCCCTGCCCCCCCAAATCAATTAACATATATTTCAAAAAACAACCACAGGGGAAGAGCAGCTTCAGGCGGTGTGGGTGGCCCCGGGTGGCCCTGGTCCCACTGCCCTCCTGCCCCCCGGTGCTCCTGCAGGCGAATGAGAGCAGCTGACACCCCGTGCCCACACTCACCCAACACAGAGGAGAGACTCAACTTGAACTTTTTATTCAGAGACAGAAGCATTAGCTTTTCTCTTGCACATAAGAAATTAAGCCTATTTTATTTCTTAAGGTTAAAAGATGAGTTTTTATGCACAAACACACTCTTGTTTGCTAAGCAGCTTTGTTGAGCTGTGATCCACATACAGACTTCACCCACTGGGAGTCATTTCGGTGTCGGGGGAGTTCTCTAATAGCCACAGATCGTTAGCTGTATCAGGGTTCCTGGGAAAGGCGGTAACCGCCACCCCCCCCTCCCCCGCAGCCCCCCGAAATACCTCACCCGCCGTGGCTGGGCGGGAATCGCCCACACCGCCTGGCCTTGCGGGACTGAGCACACACATTTCAGGGTCAAAAGAAGGTTAGTGTTTTCCTTTTATTTGTGACTTAAAGTGACATTTTCCAGTCATTTCACCTTAAATGTTTGGACTCCAAGAAAGGAGCACAGCCCTGGCCAGTGTGGCTCAGTGGTTGGGCGCCATCCCATTCGCCAAGAGGTCACCAGTTCGAGTCCCTGTCAGGGCACATGCCCGGGTTTCAGGCTCCATCACCACTAGGGGGCGTGCAGGAGGCAGCCGATTGATGTTTCCCTCTCCCTCTCCCTTCCTCTCTCTGACATCAGTAAAAACATTAAAACAACAGAAGCCAGCTGTTTGCCAAGTGGCTCGCTTACTGACGGGCCTGGCAGCTGAGGCGGTGTCTGGCCTGCAGGTGTGACGGCCCTCAGGCGTGCTCAGACAGCGCTGGCTTTAAAGGGTTTTGCCAGGTGCCCACGCCTCCCGGGGCACACGGGGAGTCTCCCAGTGCCCCTGCCGGAGCAGCGCCCCGGCTTCCGAGTCTGCCCGCGGTCCCTGTCCCCGAGGGCGGGCACTGAGCCGCTGCCAGCCGTCCGTCCGAGGGCGCAGGCGGAGCCTGCTGCTCCTTTCGCGTTCTCCATTCCAAGTCGGTGTGATTCGAAATGCAACACAGGCACACAGCGTGGGTTTTATTAACGTCGCTCTGTGACCAGAGCCAGGGGAGCCCGGGGGACAGAGCCATGTGGCCCCAGGGCTCCCGGCCCCCCTCCCTGCCGCCCAGCTGACATGGCCAGGCCCGGGGAGAAGATGAGGCCGGCAGGGACAGGCGGAAGGTCCCGGAACACGCTCCTGTGAAGCCTGGTGCGGGTGGGCGGGCAGCCGGGGCTCCTAGCTGCGGGTCTTCGGCTTCGGCCGCAGCCTGTCCCACGCCCGCTCCAGGGCCACTCTGCCCATGAGGTAGGTGATGGCCAAGTTCCGCCTGTACCAGTCCCTGCAGAGGAACAGGACAGCGGTCACTGACCCCGGCCGGGCACTGAGGACTGACCCTCTCCCCCCCACCCCCTCCTCTCTCCGCCCTCAGGAGGCCAAACTGTCCCTGAACGCCTTCCCTCCCTCCAAATCTCTGCCCAACCCAGGAACCAGGAGGTCACTGGTTCGATTCCCAGTCAGGGCACAGGCCTGGGTTGCAGGCTCGATCCCCAGTAGGGGGCGTGCAGGCGGCAGCCGATCCATGATTCTCTCTCATCATTGATGTTTCTTTTTAAAATATTTTTTATTGATTTTTTATAGAGAAGGAGAGGGATAGAGAGTTAGAAACATCAACGAGAGGGAAACATCCATCAGCCACCTCCTGCACACCCCCTACTGGGCACATGCCCTTGACCAGAATGGAACCTGGAACCCTTCAGTCCGCAGGTTGGTGCTCTATCCACTGATCCAAACCAGCCAGGACTCATCATTGATGTTTTTCTCTCTCTCTCCCTTCCTCTCTGAAATAAAAAGTCCTATATCATAAAAGGCTAATATACAAATTGACTGAACGGCAGAACAGGTGACCATGACACGCACTGACCACCAGGGGGCAGACGCTCAACACAGGAGCCGACCCCCGGTGGTCAGTGCACAAGGGGAGTGCGGCTCAGCCAGAAGCCGGCTCACGGCTGGCGAGTGCAGCGGTGGTGGCAGGAGCCCATTCCCCACGGGATCCTGAACAGCAAGAGGGCGCAGGCCAGGCTGAGGGACCCCTCAGGCCTCTAGTATGTATATTAAAATAAATAAATAAATAAATAAATAAATAAATAAATAAATAAACAAACAAATAATAATTCAAATCTCAAGCATCACATCCTATCATTTTACCTGGAAACACACACCATTATGCACCACAATACCGTCTAAAAGCACATCACCACAATACCGTCACTGCATCTGACAGAAGGAATGACTTATCAATAGGACCTAATAGCCCTAGTTGGTGTTGCTCAGTGGATAGAGCACCAGCCCATGGACTGAAGGGGTCACGGGTTCAATTCCGGTCAAGGGCATGTACCTTGGTTGCAGGCTAATCTCTGGTTCCAGTCGGGCATGTGTGGAAGGAAACTGATCGATGTCTTTCTCTCTCTCACATCAACGTTTCTCTCTGTCTCTCCCCTCCCTTGCTCTCTCTCTAAAAATCAATAGAAAAATGTCCTCAGGTGAGCAATAAGAAAAAAGGAACACCTACCTGTTATAACACATGTGCTTCTGAAAATTTTTACTTAGAAATTCCTTATAAAAGTCAGCCATTTCTTCTGCATTCAGTGTTGCCTTTTGACCTAGAAATAAATGTCAACTTACACACCAATACTTCAGGGAAGGAACCCACAAACAACTACTGACCTAAAAGCCAGTCCAGCAAGGTTGCAGGACACAAGATCAAAATATAAATGTCAGCCGAAACCGGTTTGGCTCAATGGATAGAGCGTCGGCTTGGGGACTGAAAGGTCCTGGGTTCGTTTCCGGTCAAGGGCATGTACTTTGGTTGCGGGCATATCCCCATAAGGGGTGTACAAGAGGCAGCTGATCGATGACTCTCTCTCATCAATGTTTCTAATTCTCTCTCCCTTCTTCTCTGTACAAAATCAATAAAAATGTATTTAAAAAATATATATATATATAAATGTCAGCCGAGACCGGTTTGGCTCAGTGGATAGAGTGTCGGCCTGTGGACTGAAAAGTCCCAGGTTCGATTCCAGTCAAGGGCATGTACCTTAGTTGCGGGCACATCCCCAGTAGGGGGTGTGCAAGAGGCAGCTGGTCAATGATTCTCTCTCATCGATGTTTCTAACTCTCTATCCCTCTCTCCTCCTCTCTGTAAAAAATCAATAAAATATATTTTTTTAAATTAAAAAATAATAAATAAATAAATAAATAAATGTCAGCTGATTTCTATGACAGCAATAAACAATCTGAAAATGGAGCTAGGAAGACAGCATCAGGAAGAATAAAAGACGGAGGATAAATGTAAGAGGCAGAAGAGCATCTGAGAGCTTACTACTTCCTGCCAATGTCGTCAGTTTGGCTCAAATTAGCCCATAAAAATTCTCTTAAAAAAATAAAAATAGCCGAAACCGTTTTGGCTCAGTGGTAGAGCATCAGTCTGTGGACTGAAAGGTCCCGGGTTCGATTCTGGTCAGGGGCATGTACGTTGGTTGTGGGCACATCCCCGGGGGGGGGGGGTGTGTGTGTGCAAGAGGCAGCTGGCTGAAGTTTCTCTCTCATCGACGTTCTAGCTCTCTCTCTCTCTCTCCCTTTCTCTCTGTAAAAAATCAATAAAATATATTTAAAAAAATAAACAAAAATAAATAAAAAGAGCCCTGGCCAGGAAGCTCGGTGGGTTAGAGCGCCGCCCGGTATACCGGGCTGGGGCTCAGTCCCTGGCCGGGCTAACACGAGGAGCAACCAGTGAGTGCGTAAGTAAGGGGAATGACTGTCTCGCTCTCTCAAATCCATCGATAAATTAAAAAAAAAAAGATGGGCGGACCAGAACCGATCCCACGCTGACTGGAGCCGGCGCCCAGCTGCTGCTCTCGCTGACCTGGTCTCCTTTGTCAGCCGTTGTCCTTGCACTGCGCCCAGCCCGTCTCCATGGCAGCAGCCACGCTCCTTCAACACAGCCCAGCCTGGCCCTCCGCGTCCAGGGCCGCCCACGGCCTGACCCGCGGGCGGCCTAGGCTGCTGCTCCCTCACAGGGGAGCCATAAGCAGGCGGAGAGAGCAGAGGAGTGCAGGGTGGGGCCAGCGGCCTGAGACGGGAGGACCCGGGGTCCTGGGTCCCTTTTGCTGCCAGGGTCGGAGCACCGGGCACGGGGACGGGCAGGGAGGCGGGCTGTCCCCCTGCAGCCAGGGGGCGGCTAGCTGCCGCTGGGCGCACTGTCGGCCGGCTGTGGGTGGGACAGCCTGGCTGTGCTGCCAGAGGGTCTCGGAGGGCGTGGCAGACTGCGGCCGGACATCAGCAGTGCCTGCTGGACGTACCGCTGTGGAGGGGGCTGACCCGGGCCCCAGGATTCCCTCCTTGCCCTGCAGCCGTTACAGAAAAGCTGCCCGCCCCACTGACAGGCCCAGCCACAGCGGCACTGCCCCAGGCAGAGAACACGCAGGCGGCGCTGCGCGAGGCTGAAGCGGGGACCCGCTGAGGTCGCCAGGCGTGGAGGCCAAGGCGGGACACGGGGGGCCTCTGTTCCCGCTCACGGGAGCCGGGACCACGCCCCAGAGCAGGAGCTGTGCCGGAGGGCGGAGGGGGCCATGAGGAGGACAGAGGGGCCACGAGCTGGAAATGACTTGGGATCAGCAGAGGGAGCAGAGGGCGACCTGGGGGGGGGGGGGGGCAGGGGAGGCAGACGCTGGCTGTCTGCTGAGTCCCTGGGGCGCCCACCCCGCCCCTCAGGCGCCCACTCGCCCCCTGAACTCGCTCTCCTTCCGAGCTCCTCCTGCCGTTACTTAACAAGAAAAAGAACAAACGAACTCACCCGACTCAGTTCTCAGGCCCAGGCCCTTCTCTTTTAGTCTTGAGTGAATAAATTCTTCTTTTTCCTAAAAAAAGACAAACATCAGCCCCCTCTGCCTCCCGCGGCTCCCCGGAGGGACACAGCCCGACACCTGTCAGACCCTGCCCTCCCTCGGGGTGTGTGTGTGTGTGTGTGTGACCCTGCCCTCCCTCGGTGTGTGTGTGTGTGTGTGTGTGACCCTGCCCTCCCTCGGGGTGTGCGTGTGTGTGTGTGTGTGTGTGTGTGACCCTGCCCTCCCTCGGGGTGTGTGTGTGTGTGTGTGTGACCCTTCCCTCCCTCGGTGTGTGTGTGTGTGTGTGTGTGTGTGTGTGTGACCCTGCCCTCCCTCGGGGTGTGCGTGTGTGTGTGTGTGTGTGTGTGTGACCCTGCCCTCCCTCGGGGGGTGTGTGTGTGTGTGTGTGTCCGGCAGGACACAGCCCAGCGCTAGGAGGATCCTGGGTGTGGATCCTGAGAATCAGCCTCACAAAGCCAGCTTTCAACCACCACAATTTCCGTTAGTGTTGTGCTTGTTTATTTACTTATTTATGTCTTTAATCCTCACTGGAGGATACTTTTTTTCCTTTTTTTTTTTTTTTTTTTTAGAGAGAGTGGAAGGGAGGGGGAGAAGGCAGAGAGGAACACTGATGTGAGAGAGACACATCAACTGGTTGCCTCCCACATGTGCCCCAGGGGATCGAACCTGCAACCCAGGTGCATGCTCTTGACTAGAAACCAAACTGGTGCAGCCACTGTGGAGAACAGTGTGGAATTTCCTAAAAACTAAAACTGGAACTCTCATCTGACCCAGTGATCGCACTTCTAGGAATATATCCCAAGAAACTAGAAACACCAATCAGAAAGGATATTTGCAGCCCTATGTTCACAGCAGCACAATTCACCACAGCTGAGATTTGGAAACAGCAGATGAGTGGATCAGAAAACTAGGGACCATCTACACAATGGAATACTGCGCTGCTGTAAGAGAGAAGGAACTTTTACATTTGCAACAGCAGGGATGGGCCCGGAGAGCATTATGCTAACGAAATAAGCCAGCCGGAGACAGATAAATATCACATGATGTCACTCATTTGTGAAATATAATGAACAACATAAACTGATGAACAAAAACAGATCCAGAAACAGAGAAACATCGATCAGACCATCAAACCTCAGAGGGAAGGTAGGGGAGGGTGGAGTAAGGGGGGAGTGAACAACCAAAGGACTTGTGTGCATGCATATAAGCCTAACCAACGGTGCCAGGCCCGGGGGAGCAGGCGGGGCTGGTGCGGCCAGGCCCGGAGCAGCGGCTGCCAGGCTGGGAGCGGCCAGGCCCGGGGGAGCAGGCGGGGCTGGTGCGGCCAGGCCCGGAGCAGCGGCTGCCAGGCTGGGAGCGGCCAGGCCCCGGGGAGCAGGCGGGGCTGGTGCGGCCAGGCCCGGAGCAGCGGCTGCCAGGCTGGGAGCGGCCAGGCCCGGGGGAGCAGGCGGGGCTGGTGCGGCCAGGCCCGGAGCAGCGGCTGCCAGGCTGGGAGCGGCCAGGCCCGGGGGAGCAGGCGGGGCTGGTGCGGCCAGGCCCGGAGCAGCGGCTGCCAGGCTGGGAGCGGCCAGGCCCGGGGGAGCAGGCGGGGCTGGTGCGGCCAGGCCCGGAGCAGCGGCTGCCAGGCTGGGAGCGGCCAGGCCCGGGGGAGCAGGCGGGGCTGGTGCGGCCAGGCCCGGAGCAGCGGCTGCCAGGCTGGGAGCGGCCAGGCCCGGGGGAGCAGGCGGGGCTGGTGCGGCCAGGCCCGGAGCAGCGGCTGCCAGGCTGGGAGCGGCCAGGCCCGGGGGAGCAGGCGGGGCTGGTGCGGCCAGGCTGGGAGCGGCCAGGCCCGGGGGAGCAGGTGGGTCGGGTGCGGCCAGGCCCGGAGCAGCGGCTGCCAGGCTGGGAGCGGCCAGGCCCGGAGCAGCAGCAGCCAAGTCCAGAGCAACTAGGTCGGGAGCGGCAGTGACCAGACCCGGAGCAGCTGGTTGTGGAATGAACCAGAGCAACAGAGGCCAGGCCCTGAGCAGCCAGGCCCAGAACAGCTCGCTCCTTGCCTGCCCCTGCCCCACGGCTGCTTCTCAGACATGGCTGGAAACTTTCGTGGGAACTTGAGTGTCTGCTGAATCAAGTGATGAAGGCTTAGATCTGGATGTGTTGAGTTAGTTTAGGACTGGGGTGTTGATCTGTGAGTGCCTTGGGTGGGGCCTGGATGAGGCTGGTTGACCTAGTGGGAAATGTCTTTTGTGTGAAGTGTATCATTGGGCATGTGGAGGTATTATTGATATGAGAAAATGCTAAGTAACTGATTTACTATCTGAAAAGGGATTTACTATTGGGGAAATTGAGGGAAGAAGAGACTGAACATAAACTGCACCTATGGATGAGGACAATGGGAGATGGGGGGGGGGACGGAGGGTGGGGTGGGAACCTGGTGGAGGGGGTAAGAAATGAGGAACCTTTGTAATAATATGAACAATAAAGATTGATTAAAAAAAAAAAAAAAAGCCTAACCAACGGTCAGACAACAGGGGGGTGAGGGCATGAGTGAGGGGGTAGGCGGGGGCAATAGGGGGATAAGGACACATGTAATACCTTAATCAATAAGGAAAAAAAAGTATATGCATATAGCTCTAGCTGGTTTAGCTCAGTGGATAGAGCGTTGGCCTGCAGGCTGAAGGGTCCCGGGTTCGATTTCAGTCAGGGGCACATGCCCGGGTTGCAGGCTTGACCCCCCAGTAGGGGCATGCAGGAAGCAGCCAATCAATGATTCTCTCTTATCATTGATGTTTCTCTCTCTCTCCCTCTCCCTTCCTCTCTGAAGTCAATAATATATTTTAAAGTAATGACAATAAATATTTATATGCACATATTCACGCATATACGTGTACTAGTACCTGAGCAATAGGGAGGGAGGAGCTGGGACACTACCAAATACACATGGGCCCTGGCCGTTTGGCTCAGTGGATAGAGCGTCAGCCTGTGATCATCGGCTGTGAGCGCTGATTCTGGTCAAGGGCATGTACCTCGGCTGCAGGCTCCTCCCTGGTCCTGGCCCTGGTCGGGGCTCCTATAGGAGGCAACCACTCGACATGCTTCTCTCCCATCGGTATTTCTCTGTCTTCCCTCTCTCTTCCTCTCTCCCTAAAACCAATGGACAAAGATCTTCCGGATGAAGATTAACAAAACCAAAAACCCCACAAATCCACATGGGCCATAGGCTCTTGGAAAAGGCGCTCACACATAACCGGCCCAATCCGCCACAGGGGTAAGTGCTATGAACCAGAGCGGGTTTCCGGCATGGGGGGGGGGGGGGGGGGAAGCCCTCACGGGGCGTCCTGAGGGGAGGACACTGAGCCAGAGGGGAGGACACTGAGCCAACGGCGTCCTGAGGCCCAGAACCACTGTCCCGGGACGGCAGAGCGGACAGTGGGGACACGGCGCCCCCGTGGCCAGGGTGCCCGCCCCGCCGCCGCGGACTGACCTTGCGGAAAGCCAGGTTCTGGCGGGCCCAGAACCGCTGGTTCCAGTCCTGCGTCTCCTGCCTGAGTTCTCGGAGCTTCTGCTCCGCGGGGGACTCATGCTCGGGGACGTGGAAGTGAACGGGCCGGAGGTTTGAGAGCTTGTCTGGGGGCCCGATCCAGTCGTGGCCCGATTTCCGGGGAGGGCAGAACCTCGAGGCCTGGAACAAAACGCAGGGTTATTTTCACACGCGACTCAGCGCGTCTGCAGGGTCGTAACTGAACAGCCCCGGGGAGCGACGGCCCTCGGGTACCCCTTGAAAAGGACGACGGGAAATATAACGGATCAACACGACACAAGCAGTTCACCGGCGCCGTACCGCGCCACCGTCACACAAACCAGCTCTCAGCCTGAACTTTGCACCAGATGCAAAATTAACTCAGAATGGTCCAAGACCCGAATGTAAAATCTAAAACGGTAAAACTGTAAAATGCAGCCGAAGATGTACCACCTCGGAGGTGGCAAACATGCCTTCGACACCAAAACCGCCACCAGGAGACCCGAGACAGGTGACCTGGGACCCGCGGGGCGGGGCGGAGCGTCCCAGCTGGGAGACCCTGCACGGCGGGAGGCGGCCGGCGCCAGACTCACAGGCTTCTCCAAACTCAGCCACAAAACAGACATCCTTTCTCCCTGCACTGAGGCCCCTGCAGCCTTTCCGCACGGACACCGGGCCCAGCACTCAGAGCCGGCACCACGGCCCCGCGCAGTGACTGCCCTCCCGCAGACCCAAGCCTCTGCTAGAACCCTTCTTACTTCTGCCCAGGGCTTCCGGCCCCTCGTGTCACTGGGAAGCCAAGCCAGAGTGGAAAGTCCCACAGGCTGGGCCGGTTTTTGCCAGGAGCGCACCGGCCCTGGGGGCAGGAAGACACCCATCTGCTAAGGCCGACAGTCCTCCCCCCCCCGCCCCACCTCCTCCTCCTCCTTCTCCTCGGGGCTGGCCCCAGAGTCCTCTGTGCAAGCAGAGGCAGGGCCGTAACCCGTGGCTCTTTAAAATGTTACCCGTTGCCAGCCCAAACCGGTGTGGCTCAGTGGTAGAGCATCGGCCTGCGGACTGAAAGGTCCCAGGTTCGATTCCAGTCAAGGGCATGTACATTGGTTGCGGGCACATCCCTGGTGGGGGGTGTGCAGGAGGTGGCTGGTCGATGTTTCTCTCTCATCGACGTTTCTGGTTCTCTGTCTCTCTCCCTCTCTCTGTAAAAAATCAATAAAATATATTTTTTTAAAAATGTTACCCGTTGCCGAAACGGGTTTGGCTCAGTGGATAGAGCGTCGGCCTGCGGACTGAAAGGTCCCCGGTTCAATTCCGGGCAAGGGCATGTGCCTTGGTTGCGGGCACATTCCCGGTGGGGATGTGCAGGAGGCAGCTGATCGATGTTTCTCTCTCATCGATGCTTCTAGCTCTCTATCCCTCTCTCTTCCTCTCTGTAAAAAGTCAATAAAATATGTTTTTAAAAAATAATGGATTAGGTACTAATTTGGAACCTTTACAATGAAAATTCAGTCTTCTGCCGAAACCGGTTTGGCTCAGCGGTAGAGCGTCGGTCTGCGGACTGAAGGGCCCCAGGTTCGATTTCGGTCAAGGGCATGTACCTTGGTTGCGGGCACATCCCCAGTGGAGAGTGTGCAAGAGGCGGTGTTTCTCTCTCATTGACGTTTCTAGCTCTCTCTCTCCCTTTCTTTCTGTAAAAAATCAATAAAATATATATTTTTTAAAGTCCAGTCTTCTAACTTTTGAGGGTGATGTGCTCTTTGCTGTAGTATCTGCTGCACGTCAGCCGGCAACGCAGGGCCCTGCCAGCAGGAGGCGAGGGGTCCCACCGACGCTGCGTGTACCTGGTTCCCCGCCATCCAGAGGCCCCCACAGGCATGGCTGTCCCGCTCCCTGCACAGCGGGGGTCAGCGATGCCGGGTTTCCCTCCCTCTCTGCTGAACCCCTACCTGCCAGTGAACTCTGTGATCATCATGCTCTCAACTGCCCGCAGTTTTCTACCATAACTGAGAGATTTCATCTCGTGTAGAGGAGCCTACCCCTCTGTGCTCCCCTATAAACAGTGGCTGGCCGGTGTGCTCAATGGTTAGGGCACCGGCTGTGCTCCAAAAGGTCTTGGGCTCAATTCCTGGTCAAGGGCACTACCTGGGTTGCAGGTTTGATCCCCGGCCCCAGTCAGGGTGTGTGTGTAGGAGGCAACCAATCGATGTGCATCTCTTATATTAATGTTTCTATCTCTTTCCCCGTTTCCCACTCTCTCTCTCTAAAAACCAATGGGAAAATATCCTCGGGTGAAGGTTGACAAAGAAAAACAAGCACTTCTGTCTGTTCACCCAAGCACTGCTACTTAAAGGGAGAAGGCACTTGGGGAGGAAAATCCCTTTGAAGTCTGAATAATGGCTGTAATTGCTGAGGGCGGTGCAGACAGGACAAGCAGGAACCAGCAGTCCCCTCCCCAGCCCTGCCTCCCGCCTGCAGTTCCTCTCTCCGGTAGACTAGCGCTGGGCAGTGCACGCCGGCTCCTTCTGTCCCGCCCGGCGGCCCTGGCTCCCACCTGGCTCCACGGAGGTGCCTGAGGCCCCCCAGCTCCACGGTGGATCCCTGAGGCCCCCCTGCACCGCTCACCCTGGGGTCCCTGCTAGAAGCAGGACTTGTAGCCCAGAGGGTGCCTACCCCCCCCCCCCCCCCCCCCCGCCTGTCCAGAGCGCAGAGCCATTTCTGAGTTCCGGGTACACTGCCGGCTGGCAAAGGCGAGAGAGGAAACCTGGCAGGACCGAGGCCGTGGTGTTCTCTGAGGTGGGAACCAGAGCCGCTCCCTCAGCCTCCTAGTCTCGGATGCAGGCCAATCAGCACCAGAGAAAAGGACCCCAGCACGCCCAGCAGGTCCTAGAAGCAGCTCTCCCTCATTCGGGCAGGACACAGACACATGGACATGTAGGCTGGCCCGGGTTGAGCATCGACCTAGGAACCAGGAGGTCAGGGTTCGATTCCCGGTCGGGCTCAGGCTCCATCCCCAGTGTGGGGCGTGCAGGAGGCAGCCCGTCAGTGATCCTCTGTCATCATTAGTTTCCATCTCTCTCTCCCTTCTTCCTTCCTCCCTGAAATCACTAAAAATATATATATTTTTAAAAAAGAATATGTAGGCTGCACTGGACACCCGGGATTAAAGTACATCTGTTCAGATAAGTAAAACAAAGGCTTACCACCCGTGACTTTGCAGAAGACCGGATGTGTAAAATCAGAGCCTGAAAGACAAGGATCTCTGCAGAACTTAATCACCGTCATCCAGACCAAGCACACAGGCACACCCGCGGCCCCGGGGAGAGATGTTCTCTGGCGGGGCGCTCCGGGGCCACATCCTAAAGCCACCACCAGCCCTAATGCTGGACCGGGCAAGGCTGACTCACGGCTCAGCTCCCCTCCTCGGCGTCACAACCACCGCCTCTGCGGGGCTGCAGCCTGACGGCGCAGGAGGGCTGCTCCGGGGACCAGGCACGGTAAGCGGCGCTGGGTGCCCGCTCAGACCCCTGCTCCGGGCCCCCCTGCCCAGCCTGAGGTGCTGGGGGGGGGGGTCTTGTGTTCTGGGACAAGCGGTCAGAGCTGCCACCACTGTCACAGGGAAATGTGACAGGCCCAGTGACCGGGGACCCGTTGCCCTGGTAACTGCTTGTCTAAACTGCAAATGAGCCTTTGCCAGTTTGGCTCAGTGGGTAGAGCTGGCCTGCAGACTGAAAAAAATAATGAGAATTTTAAAAAAGACTAGACGAGACAGAACTTCAAAGCCACGTTTACAAGACTGTTAGTGCCGAAACCGGTTTGGCTCAGTGGATAGAGCGTCGGCCTGCGGACTGACAGGTCCCGGGTTTGATTCCGGTCAAGGGCATGTACCCTGGTTGCGGGCACATCCCCAGTAGGGGGTGTGCAAGAGGCAGCTGATCGATGATTCTCTCTCATTGATGTTTCTAACTATCTATCCCCCTCTCTTCCTCTCTGTGAAAAATCAATAAAATATATTTAATTAAAAAAAATCAGTAAAATTAAAAAAAAAAAATGCTTAGCCGAAACCGGTTTGGCTCAGTGGACAGAGCGTCGGCCTGTGGACTGAAAGGTCCTGGGTTCGATTCTGGTCAAGGGCATGTACCTTGGTTACGGGCACATCCCCAGTGAGGGGTATGCAAGAAGCAGCTGGTCAATGTCTCTCTCTCATCGACGTTTCTAACTCTCTATTTCTCTCAATTCCTCTCTGTAAAAATCAATAAAATATATTTTTAAAAAATGCTTAAGAAAAATAACCTCCCACCACCAATTAAAAAAAAAAAAAAAAAAGACTGTTAGTAAGGACAGATCCAGAGGAATGAAAATGTACAGAAGGCAAGCCTTGGAATTCCTAAAATTGGCTTTTTTTACTCCTGCTGTAAACCAGGTGAATCCAGCCTCCCTCAGGCCCGTTAGGGAGTTCGGTGATAGTGTTTGCATGCTTTGTTTAACCGTTTTATCTGCAACCCCTTCCCTGCCGGTAGCCTGCACTTCCAGGCTGGATAAAGGCCCCAACTCTCTCTCTCTCTCTCTTTTAATATAAATATATCTTTATTGATTCCAGAGAGGAAGGGAGATGGACAGATAGAAACATCAATGATGAGAGAGTGAGAGGGCAGGTGGGGTGAGAGGGCAGGTGGGGGCGGGTCCAGCTCCAGGTAACTGGACCCTAGGCCTAACCCAACCAATCAGGTCAGCCAAGGTAGCAGCGCCACCCTCCCTATAAAACCCATTGATGTGTTAACTTCTTCCTCTTTCTCGCCCATGCCCTCGTTGGTGTGGGTGAGACTGGGCTCGGACTAGTCCGAAATAAATACAGACTCTCTGCAATTGCATCGGATTCGGCTCCCTGGTAGTCTTTGGGGTTTATGACACTTGGGCATAACAAGAGAATCATGGATCGGCTGCCTCCTGCAAGCCCTCTACTGGGGATGGAGCCCAAAACCCAGGCCTGTGCCCTTGACCAGAATCGAACCCACGACCCTTCAGTCCACAGGCCGAGCTCTATCCACTGAGCCACACCGGCTAGGGTAGGCCTCCACTCTCTTAAACGAAACGCCTTCCCCAAAAAAGTGCCGCTCACGAGCCGGCGGGAACGTGCAGACGCGCGCGGGGTCCACAGGAGAGAAGCGAGTCCACAGGAGAGAAGCGAGTCCACAGGAGAGAAGCGGGGCCACAGGAGAGAAGCGGGTCCACAGGAGAGAAGCGAGTCCACAGGAGAGAAGCGGGTCCACAGGAGAGAAGCGGGGTCCACAGAAGAGAAGCGGGTCCACAGGAGAGAAGCGGGTCCACAGGAGAGAAGCGGGGTCCACAGGAGAGAAGCGGGGTCCACAGGAGAGAAGCGGGGTCCACAGGAGGGAAGCGGGGTCCACAGGAGAGAAGCGGGGTCCACAGGAGGGAAGCGGGGTCCACAGGAGAGAAGCGGGGTCCACAGGAGAGAAGCGGGTCCACAGGAGAGAAGCGGGGTCCACAGGAGGGAAGCGGGGTCCACAGGAGGGAAGCGGGGCCACAGGAGGGAAGCGGGGTCCACAGGAGAGAAGCGGGGTCCACAGGAGGGAAGCGGGGTCCACAGGAGAGAAGCGAGTCCACAGGAGAGAAGCGGGTCCACAGGAGAGAAGCGGGTCCACAGGAGAGAAGCGGGGCCACAGGAGAAGCGGGGCCACAGGAGGGAAGCGGCTGCAGGAGAGAAGCGAGTCCACAGGAGAGAAGCGGGTCCACAGGAGGGAAGCGGGTTCAGGAGAGAAGCGGGGCCACAGGAGGGAAGCGGCTGCAGGAGAGAAGCGGGTCCACAGGAGAGAAGCGGGGTCCACAGGAGAGAAGCGGGTTCAGGAGAGAAGCGAGTCCACAGGAGAGAAGCGGGGCCACAGGAGAAGCGGGTCCACAGGAGAGAAGCGGGGTCCACAGGAGAGAAGCGGGTCCACAGGAGGGAAGCGGGTTCAGGAGAGAAGCGGGTCCACAGGAGGGAAGTGGCTGCAGGAGAGAAGCGGGGCCACAGGAGGGAAGTGGCTGCAGGAGAGAAGCGGGGCCACAGGAGGGAAGTGGCTGCAGGAGAGAAGCGGGGCCACAGGAGAGAAGCGGGGTCACAGGAGAGAAGCGGGTCCACAGGAGAGAAGCGGGTCCACAGGAGAGAAGCGGGTCCACAGGAGAGAAGCGGGGTCACAGGAGAGAAGCGGGTCCACAGGAGAGAAGCGGGTCCACAGGAGAGAAGCGGGTCCACAGGAGAGAAGCGGGGTCACAGGAGAGAAGCGGGTCCACAGGAGAGAAGCGGGGCCACAGGAGAGAAGCGGGGTCACAGGAGAGAAGCGGGTCCACAGGAGAGAAGCGGGGCCACAGGAGAGAAGCGGGGCCACAGGAGAGAAGCGGGGCCACAGGAGAGAAGCGGGTCCACAGGAGAGAAGCGGGTCCACAGGAGAGAAGCGGGGTCCACAGGAGGGAAGCGGGTTCAGGAGAGAAGCGGGTCCACAGGAGGGAAGTGGCTGCAGGAGAGAAGCGGGGCCACAGGAGGGAAGTGGCTGCAGGAGAGAAGCGGGGCCACAGGAGGGAAGTGGCTGCAGGAGAGAAGCGGGGCCACAGGAGAGAAGCGGGGTCACAGGAGAGAAGCGGGTCCACAGGAGAGAAGCGGGTCCACAGGAGAGAAGCGGGTCCACAGGAGAGAAGCGGGGTCACAGGAGAGAAGCGGGTCCACAGGAGAGAAGCGGGGCCACAGGAGAGAAGCGGGTCCACAGGAGAGAAGCGGGGCCACAGGAGAGAAGCGGGGCCACAGGAGAGAAGCGGGGCCACAGGAGAGAAGCGGGTCCACAGGAGAGAAGCGGGTCCACAGGAGAGAAGCGGGGCCACAGGAGGGAAGCGGGGCCACAGGAGAGAAGCGGGGCCACAGGAGGGAAGCGGGGCCACAGGAGAGAAGCGGGGTCCACAGGAGGGAAGCGGGGCCACAGGAGGGAAGCGGGGCCACAGGAGGGAAGTGGCTGCAGGAGAGAAGCGGGGCCACAGGAGGGAAGCGGCTGCAGGAGAGAAGCGGGGCCACAGGAGAGAAGCGGGGCCACAGGAGAGAAGCGGGTCCACAGGAGGGAAGCGGGTCCACAGGAGGGAAGCGGGTTCAGGAGAGAAGCGGGGTCCACAGGAGGGAAGCGGGTTCAGGAGAGAAGCGGGGCCACAGGAGGGAATCGGCTGCAGGAGAGAAGCGGGGCCACAGGAGAGAAGCGGGTCTACAGGAGGGAAGCGGGGCCACAGGAGAAGCGGGGACACAGGAGGGAAGCGGCTGCAGAAGAGAAGCGGGTCCACAGGAGAAGCGGGTCCACAGGAGGGAAGCGGCTGCAGGAGAGAAGCGGGTCCACAGGAGAAGCGGGTCCACAGGAGGGAAGCGGCTGCAGGAGAGAAGCGGGGCCACAGGAGGGAAGCGGGGCCACAGGAGAAGCGGGGCCACAGGAGAAGCGGGTCCACAGGAGGGAAGCGGCTGCAGGAGAGAAGCGGGGCCACAGGAGGGAAGCGGCTGCAGGCCCTGCAGAGCGCGGCGGCGCGGCCGTGTGCGCGGCGGGAGGAAAGGCCTGAGCCCCGCCGCTGGGGGATGTTCCCACGGACTTGTCAGGGGGAGGAACCTCGATGTGGGAGACACAGGGATTGGCTGCCTCCTGCACACCCCCTCCCCTAGGGCCGGGAGGAGCCTTCGATCCACACTCGAACCCAGGACCTTTCGGCCCACGGGCCGGCGCGCTCTCCACTGAGCCACACGGGCCGGAGCGCAGGACCTATCACCTCGACGAAGCCGAAAAGCCAGAAACCACCGCCCGCGCGGCGCGCATGGGGGCCTCGCCCGCCACAGGGACGAGCGCTCCCGGGAGTGAGTGCGGCGGGTGTGCGGCTCCCTCGGACCCAGGGCCGCCGCGGCGGGCGGGTAGGCGGGGAGCCCGGCGGGTGAATGGGGCGCGGCCCCCCTCCGGCCCACTCACCCGGCCCGGCGCGGCCTCCCCGCACTCGGCGCCGCGCTCCGGGGCGAGCCGCCAGCCGCGGGCCGCGAGCGGCGGGAGCCGGCGCTTCCCGAGGACCCGCCAGGCCGCCATGGGCCTCCTGCCGGCTCTCGCGGCGGCGCACGGCAGAGTCGCGACAGCGCGCGGGCTGCTTTACGGCAGGTCGCAGGTCACAGGTCGCAGGTCGCGGGGGGCGGGCCGACCGCGCGCTTTCCCCGCATGGGCCGGGCGGCGGGGGCGGCGGGGGCGGCGCGGCGGCGCGGGGTTGGCGGCGGCGGCTCCCGGGCCGCGGCCTCGCGGGGCGGCGGCGCGCGGCGGCGGGCGGCGGGGGCGGCGCGGGCGGCGCGGGGCCCGGCCGGGCGGCGGAGGCCGTTTTCCCAGCAGCCGCGGCGGTCGGCCCGGGGCGGGGCCGCGGGGCCGGACGCCGGCGGGAGCCGCGGAGTCGCAGGGCGGCGGCGGCGCGGCGCGCGATGGCGCGGGCGGCACAGGTGAGCGCGGCGGCGGCGCGGGCCTCCTCCGCGGGCCCTGCTCGGCCCTGACACCCCGCGGCCGGCCTCCGAGCCGGGCTCCCGGCACCGGCCGGCCCTCCGCTCTCCCCCCGGCTACTGGCCGCCGGCCGGGCCGAGGCGCCCCTCCCCCGCCGCCATTGTGAGGTCAGGCCGGCGGCGCGTCGGGGGCCGGGCGACGCCCGGAGCGGCCGCTGCGGCCAGTAGCCGCCGCCGCCGCCCCTTCACCGGCCCCCGCTCAGACCTGGCCGGGAGGGGAGCGAGGGATGCCGCGGGGGGCCCGGCTCGGGCGCCGCACCCCGTGAAGGGCTGCCCGGCCCCCTCGCCGCGCACCATGGGGAGCCAGCCCGCCGAGATGTCCTCCGGGTAACGAGCGGGGCGGGAGGGGAGCCGCAGGAGCGAGGCCCCGGGCGGGCTCCTGGCTCGCACCCACCGGGGATCGGTTTCCGTGGATATTCCATCCTCCGGCGAGCTGCTTCGTAGAGACCCGGGAGCCTGAAACATGCCTCCGGCCTCTCCGGGCCGAACGGGAGGCTGGCGAAGGCGGAATTCATGGCTGTCACTTCGGGGCACGGCGGGCTGGGGCAGGGGGTGAGCATGATGGGGCCCGGGCCGGTGCCCTTCGCAGGACCCTGTCACGGTCCTTTCCTGTGGAGCTCCATGCCCTTCAGGGAAGAGGGCGGGGAGGGGGGCGGAGGGAACAGGGAAGTGGCCCGTCTGGGGTGCCTGGTGCCGCCTGGGGGTGTTGGTTTCTCTCAGAGGTCGTTTTTCCGGAAACTCGGCCTGGACCGCCTCCGCCCGGCTGGTGCTTAGGGAGCCCTGTTGTCCGGAGGCCGGGCTGCTGGGGTGCATCCCTGAGGGTCTCGCCGCCGCCACCTGCAGCTTCCAGGGTGCGGGCTGGGGAACCTGTGCCTTTTCCCCGCGAGAGTTGACAGCTGCGTGCCCTGCTTACAGGATGTGCCTGCCATCCCCGCCCAGAGCCCGGCTCCTCCCCACCGCAGGACCCGCCTGCTCCTGGTCTCTGGGTGATGGTGATTTTCAGGAGCCCGAGTTCATTAGTCACTTTTCCCCCTAAGATCAAACATCTTTAAAAGTAAAACTTGATTGATTTTAGGGAGAGGAAGGGAGAGAGAAACATTGATTTGTTGTTCCACTTATTTGTGCATTCATTGGTCGATTCTTGCATGTGCCCTGACCAGGACCTCCTGGTTCATAGGTCGCTCAACCACTGAGCCAGGTGGCAGGGTGACTTTTTTCTTCCTCCCTCCCTCCCTCCCTCTCTCCCTCCCTCCCTTCCTTCCTATTGGTTTCAGAGAGGTCAGGAGAAGGGGGAGAGAGAAGCATCCATGAGGAGAGAGAATCATTGATCAGCTGCCTCCTGCACGCCCCGCAGTGGGGGACCTGGTTCACAGGTGGACGCTCCCTCACTGAGCCGTGCCCGCCCGCCCGGGGACTGCTTCTCCGCCGAGCGTGCGTGACTGCTGTCTGGGCTGCGGTATTGACAAACCCTTCCGAACGTCACTGTCCAGAGCGAGGGTTTTAGAATGAGCTAACTGGTCACCCTCCTGCGGACTCTGCGGGGTACTAAGCTGCCTTCTTGTCCTTTCAGTGCTTGTGAAGCTGAGCCCAACCAGAGAATGGATATGGGAAACCAACACCCCAACATCAGCAGGCTGCAGGAGATCCAGAAGGAAGTGAAGAGCATCGAGCCCCAGGTGGTTGGCTTCAGCGGGCTGTCCGACGACAAGAACTACAAGAAGCTGGAGAGGATGCTGATGAGGCAGCTTTTCGAGATCGACTCCGTGGACACGGAAGGGAAGGGGGACATCCAGCAAGCGCGGAAGCGGGCAGCCCAGGAGACCGAGCGCCTCCTCAAGGAGCTGGAGCAGAACGCCAACCACCCGCACCGGCTCGAGATCCAGACCATCTTCCGGGAGGCGCAGGCCCTGGTGCGGGAGCAGATCGTGCCCTTCTACAGCGGCGGCAGCCGCGTGGGGGAGGAGTTCGAGGAAGGCCTTCAGGACGTGGTCCTGAGGCTGACGCACGTCAAGACGGGCGGGAAGGTGTCCCTGCGGAAAGCCCGCCACCGCACGCTCACCAAGATCTGCGCCGTGCAGGAGATCATCGAGGACTGCGTGAAGCGGCAGCCGTCCCTGCCGCTGTCCGAGGACACGCACCCCTCCGTGGCCAAGATCAACTGCGTGATGTGCGAGGTGAACAAGGCCAGGGGCACGCTGATCGCCCTGCTCATGGACGTGGCCAGCAACGAGACGTGCAAGCACCTGTCCTGCGTGCTCTCGGGGATGATCGCGGACCTGGACGCGCTGGACGTGTGCGGGCGGACGGAGATCCGCAACTACCGCCGCGAGGTGGTGGAGGACATCAACAAGCTGCTGAGGTACTTGGACTTGGAAGAGGAAGCAGATTCGACCCACGCGTTCGACCTGGGCCAGAACCAGTCCATCCTGAAGATTGAGAAGGTCCTCAAGCGGATGAGGGAGATTAAGAACGAGCTGCTGCAGGCGCAGAACCCCCCCGAGCTGTACCTGAGCGCCAAGACGGAGCTGCAGGCCCTGATCGGGCAGCTGGACGAGGTGAGCCCCGAGAAGAACCCCTGCATCCGGGAGGCGCGGCGGCGGGCGGTGATCGCCGTGCAGACCCTCATCACGCACATCGACCTGAAGGAGGCGCTGGAGAAGAGGAAGTCCTTCGTGTGCGAGGAGCACCCGTCCCACAAGGCCATCTGGGCCGTGCTGGGCCACCTGTCGGAGATCCTGGGGGAAGTCCTGCTGTTCGACGGGAACCGGACGGACAAGAACTACATCCGGCTGGAGGAGCTGCTCACCAAGCAGCTGCTGGCCCTGGACGCGGTGGACCCGCAGGGCGAGGAGCAGTGCAAGGCGGCCCGGAAGCAGGCCGTGAAGCTGGCCCAGAACATCCTCAGCTTCCTGGACCTGAAGTCGGACGAGTGGGAGTACTGAGGCCGGGGCAGCGCGTTACCCAGACGTGTATGTATTTACGGAGAGCTTGCGGGTCGCCGAGCCTAACTGTGGTTTGTACCTGCATATTGCAATCTCAGTATTTATGATTTCAGCAAATTATATTCCGTACCTGCTGCTTTTGATGTCGCAAAACAAATATCATTACAGCTCGCTGACTTTCCCACTGGATCGTGATCTGTATGTCGTGGTGTTATTTTCCTAATCAGAAAATGGCATCGGGCAGCTTCTGTGATTTTTAACTGGGTGCGCAAAAGCATGAAAACAGATGTTTCAGAACCCAGGGCGGGGCCTAGCCTTGCCTGATACTAGGACAGTTGTGAGAAAGGGCGGACTTTTTAAATTAGAATGAGGTGCAAGCGCAGAAGCAGGGAGTATGTTTTATTCTGCTAAATAAAGCAGCACTTTTCCATTTACCGGCCTGATTGGTCCCGCCCAACTTACCTGGGCGGGTGGTGGTTTTACTGTCTTCGGATGGTCTGTTCTCTCATAAGCTTGGTTGGGAAACAGGCCTTTCCCAGGCTCCCTGCGTTCAGGCCTGCTCACGTGCCCAGTGCTACCGCACTGCGCCCCCCTCGCTGGCTCCCTTCCCTGCCCCTCTAGGGAGTCTGTCCTCGTTCAGTTCGTGCCTCCCGTGGCACGTGTTTCCACGATGTGACATGAAGAGAATCTGTAGTAAAGTAAAGCCCACCCCGCCCATGTCTGGGACATAGGACCTTTGTGTGTGACACAGAAAATCGTGGACATTGATAGCAAAGAAACCTTTAGGCTGCGTTGGAAAGGGATAAGACGCCAGCTAATACTCTGAGTGGTTTTGTTGTGAAGTCTGAACTGACGGTTTTCCTTAGTAATCGGTAAGGAGGGAAACGTTCCCAAGGACCCGGAGAAAGATGAAAGGGAAACAGACCCCAGCCTGGGCAGGGGCGTGCCTGGAGACAGTACCACGACCTGTGTGGACATGTGTGGGCGTGGCATGCGGTGGGCTCCTCCCGGCACTGGCACTGCCCCCCGGCAGGCCTGCCCACGTGCCCAGTGCTGCCTCACAGGCGGGCGGCACTCGCCAGCTTGCTGAGAAGGTAGCCGTCAGCAGTTCCCGAAGCTCTGAAGCGCGGGTGGCGCGTTGGTTGGAGGGGTGGCGGACCGCTCCCGTGTCACCTTTCACAGGTGTCTGCAGCGTCTTGATCTCTAGAAACCTGCTCCTCGGCCACGGGTGAGACTCGGTGTAAACAAACGGCGCAGACCGGCCGGTGCAGGAACGCCTGAACGCCAAGGCAGAGCGGAGCCAGCCCAGTAATAAGAGCCTGTGCCAGTTCCTCCTGCAGCGGATCCCCGATAGTGGGGTCAGAGGGCAGTGGGGTGCCCGGACAGTGAGCCCTCCCACCTGCCCCCAGCTCCTGGCGCCTGGGGGCTGTCCCAGTGCAGGTTGTTGGAGCCGTGTTGGCCAGTCCCTGTCGGGTGCTGTTCTGGGGCGTAGTTCCAGGGTGCCCTCCAGCACTGGTGGGAGCACGGGGGCGGCCTCCCTGACTGCTCCCAACCCCGCAGCAGCAGCTGTGATTTCATGTTGGGTCTGGAAGCTCAGGGCACGCTCATACCCATTGTTCTTTGCCAGCAGCACTGCCCGCCGCTGTGCCCACGCCTCCTGTAGGCGGGGAGCCCGCCCGTGGGGCTCCAGGCTGCTGCCTGGCTGGCACTGGGGGTAGCACAGGGGGTCACTGGTCACAGAAACAGACCACTTGGAGCGCCTGGTGAGGCGTGTGCCCCTGAGTCCCTGCACCTGCTGTTCTGCCTGCACTGAGCCCGCCTCGCTGGCTCCTGTCCCTGCCCCTCTAGGGAGTCTGTGTCCTCGTTCATTTTGGTGCCTTCCACGATGTGACGTGAAGAGAATCTGACGGAAGTAAAGCCCACCCTCCCCTGTCTGCTTTGGTCTGCATTAAACGTGTAACCTCTGTTCATGCGAAACCAGTGGGGTGTCTGCTTTCCGTGCTGCTCGCCTGCCAGGCCACGGCAGCCTGAGCGGTTGAGGAAATAAAGGAATGACATGTCGGCACATACAGCTCACCCACCGCCTGTCCTGAGCCCCGGTGAGCCGTGGCGGATAGAAGCCGGCAGGTTTGGGAACGGAACCAGTTTTCTCATTGTTTTCCTTTGCCAACTGCCACTGGGTCCTGAGGGTCTCCGCTGAGCCTGTGCTCGGTTATCCCCGGAGCCGTGCTGGCCACTGCAGCATGACGCCGGTGCGCTTCCTGGGGGTGGCTCTGCCCTCACTGATGGCCGCGCGGCCGTGTCAGTGCTTGGGGGTGTGCTGAGACACACAGAGCAGCAGACCTTAATTATTGATGAATGAAAAGCCTCTCAGCTCATCTGGGCAGTGGAGACGTGTGAGTCTGAGGCGTTAGCTCTCCTCGTTTCACTGCGTAGCGGGCGGGCGGGCGGCGGGCTGCCAGCTCTGGCTGGTGGCAGTGGCCTCGGGGTCCTGTCACAGGGAAGGGTGACGTTCCCCTTTAAACCAGGACCAGGAGGCGGGAGGGGCTGCCGCGGCTCCCAGGAGCATCTCTGGCCCCGAGTCCGCTCAGGGCTTCCTGCAGCGAGGACCGGCTCCTCTCGTTCCCTGGGCAGGTGTCTGTCTGTCTGTTGAAGCTTGTCCTGTGGCAGCAGTGAAGTGTGTCTAGTCCTGGCCTTTCCTGCAGGTCCCCTGGTCTGGCCGCTGCTGTCCTCCAGGGGAGCGGAGAGAAGCGAGGCCGCCTCCCGCCACGCACATGCGGGCACACTTGTGGGAAGAAGCACGTTGGACAGGTTAGTGTGCCCAGCACGCCTGCTGCCCGAAGGAGCCATCTCGTGAGGGTAAGGGACGCGCAGGCAGGTGCAGCACCCTCTGCCCGAGGCCTGGAACTCCGGCTGCAGACGGTCCTCCAGCTCCTCCTCCAGGCGAGCGTGGTCCTGCCCTTGCATCAAACCTGCCCGGCTGCCAGGGCCCCGCTCCTGGGCAGACACACCAACCGCCTCCCTCGTCTCCCGGTCCTGTGAGTGCGGGGCCGTCAGTATACGAACCTTTCCGCTCTCAGCCTCTTCCGGTGCCGATCCTCACACCGCAGCGAGGCCCCGGCTGCTGGCCTCACGGGCGGTCGGCTTAGGCAGGTGGCTGTGACCTCGGCTCCGGGCCACGTGCTTACGTCTCCGGGAAACCCAGGTTTCTCACACACACACACACACACACCCGCACCTGACCTGGCCATCCCACGGAAGCGCAGGGGTCCTGGGACCAGCATGGCTCTTGGGTTGCGCCTGGGCCAGGGCCTGGGGGAGGGTAGGGTGCAGGCTGACCAGCAGCCTGTGCAAAGCCCTGAGTCCCGCAGCCTCTGTGCTGGGGGCAGGGGGGTGGGTCCAGGGCCCCAGGGGCTATTCTGGGGGAAGCCGCTGGGGAGCAGAATTTCATCCTGGACCAGAGGGCCAGGTACCGGTGGCGCTTTGGGACGGGGCACTTCCGGGGGGTGCCCAGCCACAGTAGCTCCACCAAACCTGGCCTGGTGGCTAGACCTGTGCCCTGGCAGCCTGCAGAGGGTACCCAGGGGGTCCCTCCAGTGAGATCCCAAGAGGCTGGTCTGAGCCCCACTGCGTTAGGGGGCCTGCCAGGCCGGGTGAAGAGGGAGGACCTAAACAGACCCGCCCTGCCCGCCCCTCCACAGCCCTGTCTGCTTCCCAGCACCTTGACCTTGAAGTGTCCTGAGTTTCCTGCATCCCTCCCCAGCCCCGCCCGCCTGTTGTGTTTCCCTGTGGCCGCCAGGCGGCACCCGAGGCCAAGCTTCACGGAGCCCAGTCCTCCTGGCCAGGAGTGGGGAAGGAAGCGGGCGGGGCTGCAGCTGTTGCTCTGGGCCTGCCCACCTGTGCTCCCCAGGGGACAGGTGGCCGCCGGAAGGAGACACACACACACACACACACACACACACAGGTGCTGGGCACTCCGGAGCAGAGCGGGGCTGGTGTTGGGCCGTCCCACCGTGCCTACATGCCACAGTGTGGAGCCCCAGGGAGCCGTGGGGAACTCACTGCATCGGACTTGCCCCTCGCACCAGGTCGGGCCATGGCCTGCTCGCCATCCACAGCCCACGGCACCCCAGGCGGCAAGGCGGCAAGCAAGGGCAGCCGGCGGTGTCCCCCCATTCTCTGCCCTGGCCCACTGGTGCCTGTGATTTGGGGTCCGGGACAGGCATGATGGGCGTGTTAAGTGTCCGGAGGAAGTGACGGACCGGAGAGAAGGAAGAACCAGGGCGGTGGGCGGTGGGCCGGGGGCGGGGAGGGCTGCTGTGGGGGGTGGGCAGGGGCTGGCCTCCCCTGGGGCTCGAGGAGTCCATCAGGCCTTGGCCTTCTGGGCTCAGCTCCCCCCGGGCCCCCGCCTGTGGGGGCTGCACTCAGGCCGGCTCTGGGGAGAGCTGAGCTGTGAGCCGGCAATGGAAGCTGGCCCGTGCTGCCCCAGCAGCCGGGGGAGGTGGTGGTGGCACCCCAGCAGCCTCGCTTGCTCCTGGGGCTGGTGGGGTGGCCGGGGCACGGCGGGTGGGGGTAAGCTCCGTCCCTAGCAGGGCCAGGAGCAAGGCCGCCCGCCTCCCCACCCCGCCGGCTTCCTGCCCCACTCCTGGCCCCAAGCTCTCCCGCTCCGGCCCCGCCTGCCCGAGCTGTGCGGAGCCTCACAGCTTCACACCAGCAGGGGCTGCTGGCCACCTGGGTGCTGGCTGGGTGGCTGCGGGGCCAAAGGCAAGCTGTGCAGGGGGACCCACTCCTGCCGGAGCCCCCAGAGGCCCCCGGGACGCCTCAGTGCCGAAGCGTCTGCGTTGCTAGGAGCTCAGGGCTCTTCTCAGGGGCCTGGATCCCAGCAGACAACAGAGCTGCTTCCCGGGCTGACGCCATGGGGTCACCGCCCTGCAGCAGGCGGTAGAACACGGGGAGGGGGGCCCCACCGGCTCTTGGGGACCAGCGCCCGCACAGACCCA